AATCCCCGCAGGTTATGTTTTAATTAAATATTGCGTAGTGATTTTTTCAATAAAAAAATCGCTAATAAAAAATCCCGATTTTCGACTAAGAAAAAATATTGTAGTATGCCCTGAAACTTTAATAAACATTTCAAATTTTGTCCCAAAGTAGACCTTTTAGTACTTGACATTTAAAAGAAATTATCAAAATCGATTCACAACTTCAAATTTTAGGGGGGTGTTTCCATTAAAAATGGGTCACATTGTATACTGTGAGAACAAATTATGTGTCATGCTTTTACTGTAATTTGGATCCTTATGACAAGTACAACCTAACAAACATGATGAATTCATTACCTGAATTAATCACCTTTTTAGAACGACTCATTGCAAATAATATTCAATGAAGGGAAGAAATTCAAATCTATTTGATCATCGAAAAGTTATCCCGAATTCTCAGATCTTTTGATTATGAAACATTCCAAAAGGTTCCCTCCAAACCTTTTTCTTCCAAATATCATGATTGAGATTCAACTCGTGCCCCTCTATCAAAACATACTTCGCAAATGTTAAATTGGTAACTACTTCTGTCTTCATTCTTCATATTTCAGACAAAATAAATTCAAATATTTATTTGAAATATATATTTGAATATTTCAGTTGAATTTGAATCATGATGAAACGCAACATTAATATTTCCTATAAGTCGAATAATATAAAAAATACTCACCTTTATATCCAAATAAGCAAGGGACGAAGATATCAAAAATGACATCAACATAACTTTCAGTAAAGAGCTCATTGTTATGACGTTGGTGACTGAAACTGAAGAAAAGTATTATTGACAGAGATATCATACTATTTTTTCCTTATTCTTTCTCATAGAAAGCAAAATGAAAAGTGTTTCCCAATCATAGTGAATACAAAATACCTCAAACTAGAACAAAATTTTGAAGCTATTCAATATGTCTGAAAATACAGAAAATGGCCAAGAATTAAAAAAAAAAAGTTCAACTTACTTCTCTCGAATTATCCAGTAGATCTGAATATAGATCGGGTAAATAGGTATTTATAACCGCTGTCATTATTTTTTATGATATCATTGTCAATGATAGAGACAGTAAAACCGTAATTTACCATAAAAGTATTGTTAAATTGGAGATCATATTCACCATTACATTCTTGATTGGTACAAAATATCTACACCACATGAAAAATAGTATTTCGCTGGAATAAAAAATAAGCATTATGGAGTATGTATTACGCCATCATTGAACGTTCCTCCAAAGTTTAAAACAATGTTATTAGATCAGATCCGTATTCATAAACACACAATTGTGGATGATCCCTCTAAATACCTCTTGAGTATATACGAGTAGAGCATGTTGGTATTCAAAATACGCTATTTTTTCCCATTTACTTCATTTCTCAGTAGTTTCGAGATCACTATGCATTTGACCCGAATATAATCCGTTCGATATAAAAAAAAATCATAACAATAATAACCAAAAGAATATGTTAAATTTGTTATATGTTTTTCTACGGATGTTATACAATGTGCCACTTCTCTCATCGCTTAACGTATGAAAGCGAGAAATTACTCACGCAGTGAGAAATATCCGCCATTACAGTGAGGCATAATTTCTCATTGTTATCACGATAACCCAAGTCAGTCATGAATTGTTACATGTCAGATTGATGTGATACGTTCTCCATGTTGACAACGTGCAATATCCAAGTAGTCCATTGTCGGCATCTCCATAACAACAAACCCGAAGCACTGCATAATTATTGCTGTCAACTTAACGAAAATAGTTTTATTGTTGATTGTTATAGTATAAACAGTTGAGATTAATTAAATATTGAATATAATGGAATACGAAAATTTAGAGTTGCAATTACCGAACCCTGAATTATATACTGGCCACTGTTTCCGAAGGTCAAACATCCTTAAATTTAACAGTCATAATTCACTTGTCGAGAAACAAATACATATCAAAACACAATAAGACCTAACATTTAATATATTACACAAAATAATACACACTCTGCTTCAATAACCACTGAAGTAATCAACTCTGCTTTCCTTTCCAGGTTTTTTCCTCAATGACGATGATTTTTTCGAACTATCCACCGTGGCAATAACCGCTGTTGTTAGAAGAGTCAACCAAGTCAGCGGAACTAGTTATCAACTACGACCTCATATTTTCAGAACTACAAAATCGGATATCCTAGAAGCAGGATTGTTAGGTACGGTAACCTTTCAGTAGAAAGTGTAGAAAATACTTTTGAAAAACTATTTTGTATAAAATTGCTAACTATTTTTGAAGTTGTTTGAGAAACCTAGTGAAATTCTCTTTGTGAATGGATTCATTACATCGCACTATTTATTTATTTGTAGAACATCTTTTAGCTCAATTTTAAACGTCCCTGTTCAAGTAACACTATACTTTGTGAAAGCTATTTCCCGGGTTTGTGGCCGTGGTCTGCAGGTTTGGTAACCTGACGTTTCGTTTACCACTGCGGTAGATATTATCGAAGGCAATGTTGTATATAACGATCACAGTGCCGAGTTTCATATTATTATAAGTACGCGTGGCTTAGGTTCTCGAGATTACGCGACCTTGTTAGTGTATCTGTGAGAACAGGTAGCCAGATTTTATTAACGTCGATCGAAACTTTTTTCTATTGAATGTATCCGAGTTTTTGAATGAATATTGCCTCTCTATACAGGGTGTAACTGAATGAGTGTAAAACATTCAAGGAGGTGATTCCTCATCGAAATAAAGATAGGATCTTTCAAATAAAGAAACTTCATTGGAGCATCCCTTGTTGAGCTACAGCCCCTTAAAGGGGGTACATAAAATTTGTATAACAATTTTTTTCACAAGCACTGAAAAAGTTACAATATTGAAATTAACCTGACGTTTTGTACTACCAAAAAGACACTCAGCCAGTAATTTATTTGGTTTACCCCATGGTTGTAAGGGGTGGAAAACGCAACCCCTAAAATTTATTTCCAATGTAACTTTGTGTCTTATTATTTGTTTACCATTAAAAAAATCCATTTCCGATATCCCGTTTTATTCTAAACAAAAAAATGTCTCATGGGTATTTTGCCCAGAATAAACCAGTTCGCAGCAAAAAATTATTTTACGAACAACTACAGAGATACATCGTCATAAATGCGAACTGGATTCATTGTTATTTTGTAGTTAGTACCTGCATTAAACGTTTAAAGGGTAATAAACAAAACTAATTTATCAATAACAAAACACACAACATGTAGAAATCATAGTAAATGTTCAATATGTCTACCTTCAGACATTACGCATGTGTCTAGACGTCGGCGCATTGAGCCACGTATTCGCTTAAATATTCCTGGAGTATCTCTGATTACCCTGCACGCATCGATGATGCGGTTTTTTAAGTCCTCTACATCGCGAACATGAGTACGATAAACGGCCCCAAATACGGAAATCGAGGGGATTGAGATCCGGGGATCGAGCGGGCCAGTTCTGTGGTCCTCCTCGACCTATCCACTGATTTGCATATGTTTCAGTCAAATGCTGACGTGCTACTTGACTAAAATGGGCGGGAACCCCATCAAGTATTACTGTATCTCCGAATGACATAATGTAGGTGCCTTCTTTGTTTGGAGAAGGTTCAGCTGCAGCTGATTCCAATGTAGACCGACCCACAGCTACAAGTTGTCCGGTATTTCCCGATTGCTGCTAAATATTGGTTTCACTTCGTGTTTCTCTAAGATTCTTCCAATCGCCTTTGATACTGTTTATCGCAATGAAAGACGGACAAAGAAACCGAAAAATTGCTTTCACAAGGTATGTATGAACACTCCTAAACAGTTTATGAAACCTTTCAGTTTTATAAAATGTTAAATGAAACCTGAACCACTGTGCATGCTGTTTTTGGCGAGTGCATTAGCTTAGGATGTGGGGGTTGAGCAAACCTGTCATCGGATGGCTACTTCCACGTGGCCCGCCGGATACGGGAATGACAGAATCACTTGTGGTTCTCATATAACGCTGTGATTTACGTCAGTAACTAGGCCTGCGTAGAGCAGATGTTCATTTGATAGGGCTTCATTTTGATTAGTGTATTAGAAGAAAAAGAGTAACAAAAAATCATCGAGGGGGGAGTGGATCAGAGCATGAGAACTTTGATTGCTTCTCATTCTACGTGACGAATAATGAAAATACATCATAAAAGTATTTGACATACTTTATTGTGTAATTTTTTCAAAACAATTTGAGGATTTTTATAAATTCTTCAACAAAAATCTCACTACTAAAAAATTTATCCATATTCTTCTTACTTATTATACGAAGACATGGAATATCAAAGTTTCACGATCCCAAGCTCACCTCTCAGTATCATGGACAACTGATTTCAGGTGAAAGGGAACATTTTTGAAAAGGATGACAGTATCAAGACCTACTTGATGTATTTGTTATTATTATAAATGAGCATGGGCATTTTGTTTTGCGAAAACGCCATCTATGGGATCAATAGAAAACTGAAACAAGAGTTCTGAAGGCTCTCTGTAAAAAATCAAGCTTCGATATCAACAATCAAATAATGGATTTCAGTATTCCTTTTCAGCTTTCACATCAACCAGATGGAAATCAAAAGCAGAAAATCCGGTGCGTTCGTAATTCTACACCATAGAGCACTATTTCGACCAGTGGTGCCTGGCTGAACCACGAATATATTGTATCCAAATATCTTGATGAGTCCACACCAGAACACGCGCGTTTTCTGCCTAACTTGACGCCATCTGGAGATGACCAAAACTATTTTATTCATTTCCCGATGATGCTAATTTGGTTACAAAACTCACCTGACACACACAATTGTGGAGGGTTGCAGATATAAATGACAGTTTTTTTTCAGATTATTGAAAACGTTCAAAACAATCATCAGTTTCGTTCTTATTATTAAAAACGTTTGAAAAAGACTCCATTTTGCTTTCAAAATCGTCAATTAGTAAGTTCTTTCACTAAATAAAGTTGCAAATTCATTGGAGAACATGTGCCAGAATGAAACAATGTTTTTATTTCAAATTTCTTTCATAACTTCTGAATTTGAATCGAAAAACATTTTAAAACTTGACATTCTCTTATATTTTGTTCTGTATGAATATATACATATATGAATATATAACGCATTTAATAAAAAATAATGAATGTTTAGACTATTGTTGATTGATGCTTTTTGGCTTCTTCCACATTGTAGAACAAAAAAGGAAACCCTTTGGAATATACTATTCTCTTAGAAAGTAGTAAACATCAGTAACATTCACCTCAAACTTCTAACTAAAATCAGTTCTCATTTCAGCATGTCAGCGAGTAAAGGAAGGCGTCGCAGCCATTTTTGGTCCGGAATCACCTGAAATAAACGAAATGATTCAATCAATTTCTTCTACACTGGAAATCCCTCAATTTCAGACGTTTTGGAATCCCAAACTGAGGTAGTTTTTAATAACTCCAATTTCTCAATCAATTCTACGCACAGTAATTTTGGCTTATCTTTGTACTTCTCTGCCAATTCCAGCTTGTGGTGAATGATAGATTTGTTTGATTGATGACGTGTTTATTCTGTAGTAATTCATATTGAATATAGAATGAAGAAAATAGCTTCCGCCTGATTTCTACTACTATTTTTATTTGTTATGAACGATTTTGGTTTGCTAGACCATGTTCAAATGACTGAATTATTTTTCAAAAACAAATTCTTCAATATACAATGGAATGGTACCTGAAATAATAAAATGTTAACTGAATCATCAGTACCAAAACAATAATTATTTAATAAATCATGAACTATTGAACCCAAATTTAACAATACAAAAGTGTAGAGCTGCAGAGTTCTAGTTGGTCATGCAGGGTTTTGAAATTGGGGTTTTTATAAAATTCATTTATTTCTAATGCTCCCAGCAATTCATCTCCCTTCCTTCATTGCACGTATAAAGAATTTTCATATTTTCATTATTTATCGTGTGGTTTGTTTTTTGTAGATGTCTTTATATAGTTGATATACTCATACAAATAGAACAGAACACAGAGTCAAATGCTACAAATGCAATACGCTTACATACAGACGGCTCGAAAGCTAAAGAAGCTTAAGAATTTTTTGTGTAATTCAATGTTTATATGGAAGTAGTTGTTAATGGACTTCCCCTTCCAGTTTGTATCTCAAATTTACTCCTTTGCGTCAACTGAACATCTTCTTATAGAGTTTTGCTTTCTTTTTTGAAGATTGAGAAGTAAAAAGTTGAAACCTGTCTTCGCAATTTGAACTTGCATAAGGTATCAATGATCAATTCTGTTGTCAAGGAGCAGACTGTCAAGGCAAATCAATCCCTCACCAGTTTTCAACCTCTATCCGAGCCCTCAAAGTTTGGCACAAGCTCTGGCGACTTTGGTACGCGAGAGCGACTGGAAGAGCTACACCGTCATTTATGAGAACGATGAAGGACTCCTCCGTTTGCAAGAAGCTCTAAACCAACGGAGCATGTCAGATCCTGCTGTTTCCTTCAGGGCTTTGGGGCCGAAGGAAAATCGCAAGTACGTAGATATGAATTTAATGCATCATGATTTATTATAAGTTCAGAATAAAAGGCCAACACAGGCACTAGATAGGATATGTCTATGAAATGTCTTGAACAACAATATCAATGTCTCCGAAATTGAAGATATTGTATATTATATTGGATTATATGTGGTGTTATTGGCCGATATTTGACGAAAATTCGGTAAAAAGGCGGGATATGGGGATATATCAAAGGATATACCAAAATATATGGTGGATGGAAAAGAACGTCGGTTGCGGAAAGAACTATCTTCAAAAAATTGGGTTGCAAGACTTCAAAGGATCCTCAAACACAACAGATGTTCCATTCCATTTTTCATATTTCTCTCTACGTCCATCGCTCAAAATTAATTTCATCTTCGCTGACAGAGCTTATTGATTTTCAGGTCGGTGCTGAAAGAAGTTAAAAGCTCGGGCGTATTACATCTAATAGTAGATTGCGAGGCAGGCCATATAATGGACATTTTACGGCAAGCTAAGGAACTTAAATTATTATCGGAATTCCACAGCTATATACTGACAAACTTGGTGAGTAATGATCTTGTCCGCGAGTAGAAACAGATTCGAAGACAAATGGTCGCTATGAAGGTGATGAAATGTGCGAGAAATTGGATTTTTGATGAAGCCAACTTTTGGAGGGAAATTTTAGCTATTAACGCCGTCATTATCTACAAGACATTATATCGAACCATTTGAATGAAGTCGTCATTTTTGTGTAGACGTTAAAGTTTTTTTTTATTCAAAAGGAAAAACACCGCATCAACCACTAGGGTTAGGTATTACAGGGGGTAATTGGTAATGTCCAGGGAGGGGGAATTTTCAAATCGAAAGGAAGAATATTTGGAAAGTCTATATGGTTATCAGAAACTTTGGCAATTTTCACATGAAAAGGTAAGGGGTAATTGTGTTTCTGTTCAAAAATATGTTGGAAACGATCTGAGAATGTATATCGATAGGAAGGGTGGTTTTTGGAAGCGGCTACTCTTGCGGCATAACTTAAGGAAATATAGTCTCTGCGAACATCAAGGGGTTGTTCTCCGGCTTCAGCCAGTAGGCTAAAGTTTTTTTTTCCGATATATCTCCACCTCACTCAGACTGGGAACGATAAAAAATCAGAAGAATATGTAATTGTAAAGGTATTCCACCTGATATTTCGCGTTTTTCACAACAAAAATATCGTCATCTCTTATCAAACAAGTTAATATAGTGAGAAACAAAATATGCTGTCTCCTCAGGTTTTTCACGTAAAATTTAAGAATTGAAATCTCTCTAATGAAGATACTTTTCATATTTCATCCATTACAATTTTTTATTGTTGACAATAATGAATACAAGGTAAAGTAAAGAGGTTTTTAATAGTTTCTAGAAATATTGGCTCCAGCTCAGCACACTGAAAAGATTTCAGTTGACTGGTCGATAGTCCTAATTTCAACTATAAAAAAACCGTGATCATTCAATTTTCCAATGGAAAGTAACTGGAAAATCCTTTCAACAACAAGTCTTCACAAAATACAAAGTTTTTGTAGAACATATCAATGAAGACATTAGTTTGAAGACTCATATGAATAATATTCCGGAAAAGTTACGTAGTAATCAGTGTGCGAGTCAACTGAGGAATATAACTTCTGCCGAAAAATGAATGCTAAATGTTTTCTTGTATCTCAAGCAATAACCACAATAAACCCTTGCGGGTTGCGGTGGAGGGTCGAATAGGCCCACTCACGTTAGACCTAACCTAGCCTGAGTGAGAGCCTTAAACCTGCTAAAAGAGCAAATTATCGATATTCAAATTGATCAATAGAATATATTTATATACAAAGTAATTCAAATTACGAAATTATGAAACAACAATGAAAATTAATTTGCGCTCCGTGGCGATTCGATAGTTTCCAGTGGAACATTTGCTTTTTCAGCTGCAGGAACACCCGAAAAAACCTGCAGCACCACAGCATCTGAAGATCTTGATTTGCCAATGTTCTCTCTTTCATAGAATGAAATGTAGGGTGTCTCCAGAGGCTCCAATAAATTCAATACATCGCCAGCACACTTAGTGACGTGACTATCGTCAAATTTCAACCAGTCCGTTTCGTCTTTGACCAAGCCGTAATAATGACCAGATTCAACGCCAGAACCGCAGTGAACAATGACTGCATGAATATTTTAACAGCGGTTCTGCTAGATTGAAGTGTTGTCTATTTCGAACCTTCGTAAGAGTTTGGTGCTTCCGTCAGAGGTTGAGTCATGTTTGAAAATCGTCAGTGTTATTATTAGATTGACTGGTGCCTCAGCTTTATTTGTTTTCTTATAATAGTCAGTTATTTTGGCGCATGTTTGGCAATACAGTTGATCAACTCCCGTTGAAAGTTCTACTTTCAGATGATTTAACAATAAGCTTTGCACGGATTGGTTATCAGTCATATTAGGAAACGCTAGTTGAAGTTCCAGGAAGTTACAAACGTTTTTGCTACCTCTTGAACATGTACTACAAAGTGAACAAGTGGGAATTTTTCCAGCAAAAGATCTACAAGCACAAGACGAGATAGACTGCACGGAATCATTCACGGTCAGGAGTATTGATCCTACTCACGAAGAGTACTTAATAAGAACCACAAAAATTCAGAACAATCCTCTGGTTGTCCTAACGACTATCTAGTGGACTTCAAAGATTCCAGAAAATGGGTTGTTGAAAAAAATTATGTATTCTCACGAAACTGCAGCTGCATGAACAGGTGTTTGAGTTAGGTGAATGAGTAGGAAACATTCTCGTTCATCGTTAAAACCTCGCTCCTGAAATTCTTCGTCATGAACAACACTTGTAAAATGCTATTCATGTACCAAGTGTTTCCTATATTGTCTAATCCAATTTTCTTCGCAAGATTTTCAGGACAACTGTCTACTGATTCGTAAGAAAAAGCATGTTCCACGTAATCTGCATCAGAACCATTTCTCAAGCTGAAATCGATCCTTCCAGTGATGATGGGTGTTCTGGAGGAATCGACTCGGCTCTGGCTTCATAAAGTTATTCCACTGAAACCAGAACTGCAAGGACTATAGCTCATGTTTAGGGGCAAGAATGACCTATGTCCATTGACCGCACTGAAGAAGAGAAAGGTGGATCAATCACTTGCGAATTAATCTTGACAGGAGACTGATGAATATATACATATCGCGGCTTGTTTCGAAGAGATTTCAGTTCCGTATTGAAATGTTCTTTATTCTACAATCGAACAAATGTATAACTGTACAAATGTACAATATACAAGTGTACTTCGTTTTATCAAATGTGCTTTACTGGATTGTCTCCAATTTTGAGAAATTTGTCAGCTTCCTATTGAATATGATTGGTTGCGAATTTGTCTGATTTTGGATGGAAAATCGTCATTCTCAATGTTTCGAAGGAATCTCATATTTTGTGTTTCAACTATCAAATTTTTTTATAATGAATTATTATTGAAAATCTACCCCCAATGTGTGACAAGGAATGTACTTCCAGCTAGAAGCAGCTTCCGTTCATATCAGTTTCATTCTCAATGTCCCACTCTGTTTATTCAATCACAAACTCGTCAACTTCAATCACAAATGTCCATGTCTTTCTGGTATCCAAACAATTGATTTTTATCAACCATTACAGTGGATTGGGCTTTTTATAAAGATCCCACAACTTTTGACGACATGGCGATGGCTGTAAATGAAGAGATTTATTTTGTATTCTGTGTGAAAACGGGACATTAGTGCCCTCAAAACAACTTCGTTATCCCTCCAGAGCAGTCCGCATAGTTTTTGCGCTTTCTGCGGAAGCATTTGTGTTTCTTATCTCGTTCTGGGGGTACGTTACGCTCTGATTGTCTTTCTTCCAGTGGTTTTCACGCACGACTGAAATGTATCAGAGACATTACAGAGTGGTTTTTCATTTGATTGAATCGAGTGGATGCCCCAAGCAATTTTCGAAAGTGGGAGAAATGATCTCCAGGTTTGGAGAGATTTTCCATCGGGAAAAACTCTTGAAATAAGAATATATCTAGAAAGTAATGAAGTGGATACTATAATTATCAGCTTTTCGTTTTATTTTGCGAAACGTGAAGAATCCAGCTATCCAAAAGGAACTTGTGAATTACCGCAAACTCAACCCTGTTGCGGAGGTTCTTCCCAATAATATTCCAGTGAGAAAAATTTTTGATTCGATATACTTCAAAAGTAGATTTGGTGATATTGTAGAAATCATTCCATTGTGGCGTTGCCAAGTTATTTGAGAAAAACCTTTTTTGCAGGTAATGATTCAATCTACACGCGAAAGAAACTTCAACACATGGCGTTATTGACAAATTCCGAGATTTTTTTTTTTGATGTCAGTCATGGATAACTGGGTTTTTACATAAAAAAGCAATATAAATATTCTTTCACGTATAGATAAATATTCTTTCAAAAGAAACACCCTATTTTAAAAGAAACAGGGTGTTTCTTTTGAAAAAGTTGATTTACCGAGCACCCTATATATTTTTTCCGAAAGATGAGATTCTAAAAATTATCATAGTAATGTTGACTAACTATTCCTAAAAAATCCACTTACTTGCTGTAGACATGTGGATGGTGAATTAAAAATGTATTGTCTGCAAAATAAGATTTTCTAGAATAACTTGGCAATGCCGCAATGGAAATTCGAAAAAAAAAATATCTTAGAGAGTTAAAAAAATATAGAATCGAATAACCTATTCATACACTGGGTATTTTATTCAAAAAAATATAACTTTGGTTGGCCATAGGTCTTTCGAAAAAAGTTATTTAACATTCACCACCGCTCGAAATAGTTCACTTACAGCTCGGAAGGTTAACTGGAGTTTGGTTAGCTAAACAGAAAAATATTCTTCATCTATGGAAACATATCTACTGAACATATGACTGATATATGCTTGTGAGAATTGGAGATTTCAAAAGTGACTCCGCGTGTACTCTTTCAGAAATCTACTCATCAAGATAATTTAGGAAACAACTTAAGACAGTTTACTGAATACTTCATACGAATCATAGTCTTTGAACCTATACCAATCAAGTGTACCACAGAGATCCCATTGTGATCCACTGTCTATAATACAGATAATATCAACAAACTACCCTTATTTTCAACATTATTGAAACAGTTTATTCAGTTCATACAGTACAGTTATACAGTTCATATAAAGTACAGAGTACTGGTACTACTACTTGGCAAATGCTCGATTTAAAACATTTGTATATTTTTCATATCGCGAAATTCATTCACAAAAATAGAACGCAACACCAAAAGATTTCTCACAATCACAGTACAAGACAAAAAGGTCTGAAACATTTAAATATTCTCCGTTTTAATTCTACCCTTTATAAGAAATCGATAGCATTCAATGGCCCTAAAATTTACAATTACATCCCAAAGTCCATCAAAGATATTCATAGTTATAAACAGTTCTGCAAAAAGCTGATGTCCTCCATTCTCATGAACTCTAGAGCCCTTGAAGTTCTCTTACAATGAATGCCAATATATAATTCTCTGAGTTCCTCAGTTTCTTATAATATTAGTTTAGTCTTCTAGGTCCTGATAATTTTAGATTATTTTCTTTATTTTCTTGATTACTATATTATTTAGGCTTGTAATATATCACATATCAAATGTTCAAACACTAATCAATTAGTACTATTTAGGCACAAGACGATCTCATTATGAGATCAGGTGCANTGTACCTTCACTCTTATTTTTGAGTCTAATTTGACCGGACTATTTCTAATTCCTCCTTTTCATTGTTTCCATCATGATAGTTTAACTCGTTGAACCGTTCAGCAGAATTCCTTTTACTTTATATTCAGCCTCACCGAAAATCTCAACGTTTCTCGAACTAATTCAGTGTTCAATTTCTCAGAAGGGAAGAGAATTTGAGCTCGTAGTCGAACCATTGACGGGAGCAATAACCTCATTTGATGAAATGGGCTATAGAAAGAAGTACAAACTGCAAATCATAGAGTTGGACTCCACAAAGTTTCGAGTTACAGGCACTTGGGACTCTGATTTCCCACAAGAAATACAATTCAAACTATCAGAAGAAGATCGAGACACGGAGTTGAAGAAGAAGATCCAGCAGAGGACATTTAGGGTAGTTTCCAGGTATGACGGACAAATATTGTTTATAGTTTTTTGTAGTCAACAGTAAGAAATCGTGTACCAACCTATTTATATGTGTGAATTATATTTACATCTGAGAATTTCAAAATTTCAGGCTGGGTGATCCGTACCTCATGCATAGAGTAGATCCAAATGGAAGAGCTTTGTACGGAAACGATAGATTCGAAGGTTACACCATGGATTTGATCGGGGAGATATGCAAACCCCAAAACCTCAATTGTAGTTTCACTTTCGAAATTGTTGCGGACGGCAAGTATGGAAACTATGATCCAAAAACCAAACAATGGAATGGCCTCATTAGAGAGCTACTTGATTATGTACGTTTTTTTGAAGAGCAGAAGATGAGACCTGATTTCAAAGAATTAATTCACTAACAGAATAACTAACCAACAAGCAATTTAACTCATTTGAAATTCAGATAAGTCTGGAAATTGTATGGAAGAGAGATATATACGTATATCTCAAAACATGCATCTCTCCCTTAAAACCTATGAATTAGATTCTGGCAAATACCAGCCAGAATACAACTACTTCCCTGGCTGATAACACGCGTGGTATTAGCCAGGACAGTAGTTGTTTTCCAGCAGGAATATCCATAACCTAATGTGTGGATTCGTTTGGAGATTCAATTTCGAAAATTTTTTTGAAACTTGTTTGAAATGGAGATCAAACTTAATCCAAAGTTTGTTTCATTTAATTCATCAATTTATGTCTTTTTGCTATTTTTTTTCAGAAAGCTGATCTTGGTATTTGCGACCTGACTATAACATATGAAAGAAGGAAAGCTGTAGACTTCACTTTGCCCTTCATGACCTTGGGTGAGTCACTGATTGAATTGAAGTATGAATATACAGTGTGTCTCACTTCTCATAGAAACACCTCCGTATCTTCCGTAATATTCGAGGTGGAACGATGAAACTCTCAGGACTGATGGAAATGCTCAAAATGCTGTGATGATTGATGAAAATACATAGAAAATATATTCTTTAGTTATATATTACATAAATAGTGATTTTCAGAACTACTGCAAAAACAGAGGATTGAAAAACCTACATTATCATATCTTTGAACCCATTACAAAAAACAAATATTATCAATCATTTCTGTGAAATAACATTCATTAAGGAGTCGTGAAATGGGAAAATATATTACTTCTATTAACGAAGCCTCTATAATGTTATTGTATATATCAATTTTTTCCACAGGAATCAGTATTTTGTACGCAAAAGCCGTTAAGGAACCACCAGAGCTGTTATCTTTCAGTCATCCCCTATCATTTGAGGTCTGGATCTACATTGCCACGTCTTACTTGATTATCTCCATGATGATGTTTCTGGTAGCGAGGTAAATTTGTCGCTTTCAATTACTGAATATAAATGAATTATACATGATTTATTTTCTACACAAAGTAAAGTTATCAAGCAAATTTTTCCTTGAATGTTTAATACTTTCTACATACCTCAAAATTAGTCTTCAATTATTCTTCTTTTCGCTAGATTAAACTTTTGCTGATATAAAAGAATATTTCGAAATGCTATCATACTATATCTTTCTATTTTTTACATACCCAATCAAACAAAATCAACCGGAACCTTCGCCAAATTTTCGGATGTTTTAGAATAAACTGGAGTAAGTTTTAAAACCGTTTTTCTTTAAAATTTTTATATATCGTTTGTTTGCAGATCTTCAAAATGAATTCAAAACTGATGAATACTCAGGAACAGGTGATCCCATTTCCAAAAATAAAGAGTGTTGAATAGATAATAATCATACCTATCAAAGGAGTTATTGAAAGACCCCTCTTTCTATTCGGAAAAAAATGTTGGAAAAGCTATCTCGGCAACGACTGATTTTCTCTGATTTTGAAATCTTGCCTCATTCAAAAGTTAGGTGGTGATTCTATGGTTTTGTGATATATACACGAATATCTCACAATTGTGATGACTTTTTCCATCAATTTATGGTATATTCCAACATATCGGGAAATAATTCACAATTTTTCCACAACTGGTAATTTTTCGTAGATGAGGTTCTGACTAGAATATGACATACTAAAATACTCTTCCATAGACTAATCATAATATTTAATGGAAAAACAATGAATGCTAATTTATTTTGCAGACTGAATCCCAATGATTGGGAGAATCCTCATCCATGCAACCCATGTCCAACTGAACTAGAGAATATTTGGAATGTAAAAAATTGTTTTTGGCTCACAATGGGCTCATTTATGGCACAAGGTTGTGATATCCTACCGAAGTGAGTATTCGTAAGCAACTTGTAAGTAGGTAACATTATATAATATATATAAAATAAGATGCAAATCTTTACTGGTAGCTATCAAATTTCGATTTGAGCAGTAAAGACGCTCTTCAGTTAGTGGTTTTTGTTCAATTTTCAAACACATTCGCAATGAAGTATGACAAATATGAAAAATGGGGTATGATAGTCAATTTAGTGGTCAATTTAAAAAAAAAGCCTCAAAAAAGAGATTTTGAATACCGCATGGCTTTTTGTTAGTGGTTCCTGGAAAGTTTTAACCAAGTGCATGACTTTTCGTTGAATTGTATTCAGACAGAAAGACCTTATGTGAGCAGTGCTGACATTTTCAACCGCTACAATTATTATACTACTATTACTACTACTATTGTGGAGCGGAGAAGTCAAGAAAGATTTGGTTTTAATTTGTGGGCAGGTGTTTTCAGGGGTAGAATTATCGCTCATTCATTTATAATGGCACTTTTACATGTATTTAAACATTTAAAGACAAAATATTGAACCCCTTGTTGATGAATTGCCACTAATGGAGCTCAGAAAAATATATTTTCAACAAGACGGGGCTTCGCCACACAACACTGCAACGGTCACCAATTTTTTGGCTGCAAATTTTGATAATAATTGGATAATTGGATAATTGGATAGGTATTTGGACCGGCCAGGTCACCGTAACAAATACCTATCTGTTTAAAAAAAAATCTGTTTTAAAATCTGTTTTTCCGTTAACCAGCTGTCGCACCCATACGAACGACATCCCTCAGAAGTCGAAACTTGTGCGACCTAAGGATTAAGGAGGTCTTACCTATCAACGTGTTATTCCTAACACGCCTATAGACTATTACTTCTGGGGAAGGTTGAAAGATTTTATTTTTGAATTGCCTACTAATTCTAGATACGAATTGGAAGCGGCAGTGATGTAAATTTTTGCTTGTCCCATTTGTATTGAACTGATTATTTCAGCAAAAAACGTTCAGGAGAAGAGTCGCCTGTGTGTAGGAGAAGCTGGTTGACATTTCGAACACCTTCTCTGAAGAAATATATTTTCTTATTAGTCAGTGGGCTATGCTTGGAAACTAGCAGTAAACAAATCCAAAGAAGTGAACTTTAAACGTTCAAGCCAGTCTCAAATATACCTACACAGTAGGTTGAATGGACTGACTTCTATCAGAAAACAACTACTCCCCTGGCTAATACCACGAACGGCGTTGGATTATATCCAACAGGCGTCAGTGCAGGAATCTTCACAAAAAATTTCCTGCATATGCAATTGGCAATACAAATGAAAGAGTCGACCTTCAATTTTGCAACGAGCACACTTGCAGACCGGTTTCGGGCTCTGAAAGAATTCCGATTTGAAAATATTTTAGTTGGCTAGAGAATGTCCGAATATGCCCTCCATTAAATTTTCAAAGTGATCCGTTGTCTGGTTCACCCGAAACGTTTAATGTGCCATCCACCGTGAATCAGCCTGTATATAAACATAGTATAAATTGTTACCAGGTTTATTGAAACAATGCGTTTTAATTACTGCTCTGAAAAGTTTTTTCAATATTTGATAGCTAATACTAAACAATTTCTTTCTGTTTCATCGCCTTGTCCAAAGCCTACTTGGTCAAAGTATGCGTTTCAAAATATAGTTAAAAACATAAAAGATCTGTATTTAAAGATGACTCCAAGCAAAACATCAAGTGTGTTACATTTTTGATAAGGTAATTTCAAGCTCTATTGAAATTCGCAGGAATATACAGGGTGTCCCATTAAAAAATAGTTTTATCTCAATAACTATTGATATCTAATTTGGAAAAATTAGTTTTTCACATCATTTAATTCTAAAAAGAGCTTTCGGAAAATGCACATTTTCGAAAAACATGCTGTAACTCACAAACGATGATATATATCGATATGCGGCTTTCACCATTCAGTTAGTCATTGAATTTGACACCCAAACACAGCCATCAGTTTCCATCTATCAAGTTTGAAAACAGGAGTTTCCCTTGAAAACTGTCCAGTTAGGCCCACTCTGTACAGAATCCAAACACGAAACTCTACACGGTTCCCCACTCGCGCCTTCCGGAATTAGGCCACGATCGTCAGTAATACATCTTTGAACAGTGATTTAATCGTCAAACAGCGGAATACAATACTTGCTTACTTTAATGATAAGAGATAGGCGGCGTGTTTGAACAGAAGTATCTTTGCTATACAAGGAAGCGGCCAGAATACATCATAAACTATGACCGGCATGAGTACAGCCAAGCACATGCTTTGCCATGTTGGCACGCGCTTCTAAGAATGTTGCTTTGAAGTGATCTCCGACTCGATGCATAGGTGGGGACTGGAAAAAATGATGAAGGAATTTTCCCTTCTGTTCAATCTTCAAGTGTCCTACTATCGAAGTCAGGATCAAACTCACTATTAGTGAGTCGAATGTTTTATTATTTTCTTCAAGTGTTATACTTATACAAAAATCGTTTTTAATGTTAGTGTCTTACTTTTCAGGTAACTTCGTCAGCCCTTTGTTGTTGTTCATACGACTCTTTCCATTCTTTTCCAAGCATTTCTCGTTTATTCTATGATCGTCCTACACAGGACGTCCTCCATCAAATATGTGAAACGTATACCTTGTGTAACCTCCTTACCATTTAGAATATTTACATTCTGTAGACATTTCATTGTGCTCCCCGTCAGACATGAATAATGCCATTGTCATTGAAGTCCTAGCCCGTAGGCCTTACACAATAGTCATCTTCATTTTCATCAGACTGGGGTATTTGATGAACAAACTGATCATTTCAACAGACGTCGTGGGGCCTTCACCCAACCAAGCGACGGAGCCTTCTGAATCGTGTGGGGTCGTCTATAGTGTAATCTACGGCTTCCCTGACTAGTGGGTTATCATGAGTTTCCGCTGACTCGAAAACTCTCTGATTCTTCGGCTGAATGGACTGACATATAGTTAACAGCTTCAATATCACATCAGGCATCTTCCCTCTATCTAACGCCACCACTGCCAAGGAAATTCCTACTCCTTCGAACTAACCCCCTCCTCCGCGCCATCGGCGCACGGTGTCAGCCATACGAAGAGACGAATCAGCGGTGTATAAGACCCAATTCTTTCATTTCCCAGTAATTACAAGACTATTCTTACACCATAATGTATCAAATAAAACTCAAAACTAACAATTCTAGCCCCTTCAGAATAGAGACAGACACGAAAAAGGGAAAAAAGAACAAAAATTTACATTTCTACATGACATAAACTCCCTCTTTATTTAATATTCCCAACCCATGTATCCCAATTGGACATCATCAATATCGCACATCCTATACAAAAACGCATAGTTAACGTGCACTTTCTACGCCTGTAAGTCAGCAGCTCACCAACTATCCTTTCCGTTCTTCCTTCACCATGTTGTCAGCCCAATCATTCACGAATCGTGCCCATACATCCTTTTTCCCATTTACATCCCTCAACATAATTTCACCATTCATCCTTTCCGCTCTTTCCTTTCACTATCGCCAACCAATCCTGCCCTGTCCTGTCATGCATCTATCAATCACGTGCTCTGCCGTTTCAGACTCCCCATAGTTAGGGCAGGGAACCTCCGTACCCAGGTTGAACCTCGCCAGGTATCCTGGACAGTTCCCATATCACGTGAGCAGTTGGATAGATCTAATGATTTATTTTCCGATGATACTGTTTACTGTGTGCCCAAAGTTGTGTTTCCTGTCGGACAGTCCGTTGGAGATCACAAGATCCTGTTCGAAAATACCTAGAGGCTAGCAACACGAATGTATTTAGAAGCTATAGAAACACACTAACACCAAGGAACTTCAACAGAAAGGAAGTGGGAACATATCTACCAAAGATCTGGCATACAGCATTGAAAAGCGAAACGAAACGAGGTCGAGCAAATCGCGCGGAATGTACGCGCGACCCACCATTACAGAAAATGCGCGAAAAATTACAGAAATGGGGGCCTCAACTTCTCAACTTGACACGTCAAGAAGAGTACCTCGACCTCGCCACTGAAGATGACTGCCGCGGTTGCAGTCGAAACGTTTGGACATTATAACCAAAGAAGACCAAGGCGAAACCCGGAAACCAACCAAAGCAGCGCATTCATTGTTTAGATTTTTGGAAAAGAAGCTGAAGAAAGAAATAGTTAATGAGGAGTAAACCATGGGTGTGAATTTCGCTGCCCAAGGCGTTTGAAGTTATTTCTATTCCGACATTATCGAGCAGGATATCGTTCCAAGTACGACCGGTAATCAACAACTGCAAATTTCCGACATTTCCCAATAATTAGCTGCGTAACCAGTTTCTAGTTTTTGATTATGTGGCATTTTCAACTCATATTCAGTAACTAACAATAACAGTCCATCGAAACGCCAAAAATTGTTCTTTTTTCCACGAAAACTTTCCCGAAAACCCGCGAGAACTTAGAAGAAGTCTAAGGGGGCTAAAACGGGTGATCCTGCTGGCCACCCTACAGAACCATGTATTCCAATTCATTATTCAAATATCAACAATTCAGGAAGCTATGAAGATTTCAAAAATATAGTAATTTGAAGAGTTTTTCATTTGGAAATCCAACGTTGGTGTCATATATCGACCGGTATTTCTCGTATAAATGCTTCAATAATGGCTTCCATAGCGTCAGTCGTTGCTGGTTTATTCCTGTAGAACTGAGCCTCAACATGACCCCACAAGAAATAATCCAAAGGCGTTGAATCACACGATCTAGGCGGTCAATTGACGAGCCCCAAACGTGAGATGAACTTCTCACCGAAGGCGGCTCTCAATTGGGCCATTGTTTCGCGTGTCGTGTGGCATGTGGTACCGTCTTGTTGAAACCACATGTCAGGCATGTCCAGCGCCCATTCACCAAATGCCAGCGCCCATTCACCAAATGTTTGACGTTGTGGGAGGTCGTGTGGCTTAAATTATTGCACCAGCTGTATCTTATAAGATAAAAACATTCGCAAAATTTTTCACGTAGTGGAGTAACAGAGACTCAATTGCTGCGAACGGCGGCGAATCGACATTTCACGGTCATCACGAACACTGGCGGATACAGCCGCAATATTTTCTTCGGTCCTCACTCTACATATGCGTGTTGGTGGTTTAATGTCCAATAATGTAAACTGGGTTCGAAATTTATTAACAAGCTTCCGAATAGCTCCCTCAGTAGGCCGACGAAACTGCCCATGAATTGGAAGAAGTGAAAGATGCACTTTCTTCACCAAGCATGAATTTTGATAATAAAATTCAATAATTTGCAAGCGTTGTTCATTCGTAAGTTGATTCATGGTTAAATCATAGATCAAAGTGAACAAGTTTGACAATAACACATGACACGATTCACGCGTGATCTGTCAAAAACAATGTTGCTAAAAAGATACCAGCAAAAAAAAACACTCATTATATTGTAAATTCCAGAGGATGGCCAACAAATCCGAAACGTGGTAAATAAACAAATATATCCCATTCCAAACGAGTTTCTATCGAAAACATTAACCTCTTATCGGAGTTCAAATAAGAAACATTTTCCACCTTTAGAAAAAATAATACAACGTACGCCTATGCCTGTCCATGTATAGTCACACTGTCATTTCGTTCTTATCAATATTGATGTGTCGCTTCCGAAACGCCTGAAAGTATTCCAATGGAACGGCAATGAGGAATGCGTGTATATTCATGCGGGACTCATTAGCGGTAAACGATAGTGGATTTCTAAGTTACGATCTGCGATTTTTCTTCGATAGAAATCGATGCGAAGGCATTTGGGAGGTAGTTGCATCACGCAAATCGTGCCCCGAATACGTGAATTTATTGCGATGAAAAAGTGATATTCAAATTGACTGATGTAGCCGTTACTATGTGGTAGGAGGTTATGAAAAAGGATAAATGACACTTTTTATGTTTTTACCACTTTTATAAAGGTTTAATTTCTCGTTTTTCAAAGTGATAATTCTTAGGAAAACAGTTTTCATGAGAATTTTGAACCTTTCACAATCTGGAGAGAAAATCTCTTTTTCTAGGAATGTTATATTTTCCTCTTACTGTTTTTTTGGCGATATAACATTTCACGATCTAAAAAAATTAACAAACCTTAATCAATCGAGAATCTGCTCCAATCCAGTTCAGGAGCTTGTCTACAGAGAAGAAGGATGTCGAGTTTACGACTCCAACTGACCTCCCTGTAAATTTAGTTCAGGAGCGAGTCTACAGAGGAGATGGATGTCGAGTTTATGACTCCAACTAACCTCCCTGTATATTTAGTTCAGGAGTGAGAGCTACTCAACTCCCCAACTCCTGATCCATTAACTGAACCTAAAAAGAAAGTTTGGTGGTGTAGCCAGGAAACGACTGAGTCATCTCCCCAAAAGCGGAGTACCTTATGAACCCCCTTGCACCAAATTCTTGAGTAGCGTACGCAGAATCTGTCTCAGGTGTAGGAACCAACCCCCAATGAGCAGGTTAGCAAACATTTGTGGTAAAGGGTAGATTCAACAAAAATTGAGAAAAAAAGCCCTGCATGGTTAAATCCAAGGCATCGTCAAATGTAGCTGACGTGCAAAAACCCTCATATGGAAGTTACTGCGGAATATAAACCACTGAAGAGTGGTCTATACAGTAATATACAGTTAATTGATGAATGGAGCCGTTTCTACGTAGTAGGAAATCATAATGAAGAAAAGAGAATTGAAACATACGCTAAACTGACTGTTATAAGAAAACAAGTATAGCTGAGGCTCCAGTCAATCTAATAATAACACTGATGATTCTCAAACAAGACTCAACCTCTAACGGGAGCAAGACACTATTTGGAAGGTTCGAAATAGATGAACATTTCAATCTAGCAGACCACAGTTATAATATTCATGCAGTCACTATTCACTGTGGTTCTGGCGTTGAATTCGGTCATTATTACGCTTTGGTCAAAGACTAAACGGACTGGTTTAAGTTTGACGATAGTCGTATCACTAAGTGTTCTGGCGATGTCTTGGATTCATTGGAGTCTCTGGCCACACCCTACATTTTGTTTTATAAGAAAGAAGGCATTGGTAGATCAAGATCTTCAGATGATGTGGTGCTGCATGGTTTTTTCCGGATTTTCCAGCAGCTAAAAAAGCAAATGCGCCACTCGAATCAATGAAGTCGTTGTTTTTATTTTTATCGTTGTTTCAATAAATCTTTAATCCAATCTGAATCGCTACTTTCGCACAAGCACCGATCTCAGAACGGCTTCAGGAACTTCCTGTAGTGCTTGGATTTTGTCCTTAAAGAAAAATATCATTTTCATTCAATTCTCCCGAAGGAAAAGATAAAAAACTAATGAAAATATTTGAAAGTTTCTACATAATCAGTGGATAAATGATAATTTTTTTTTGAAAGCCAAGGCGTTGAAATATTTTGTTTTCAAGGGGAATCTCAACGCGGATGGTAGCAGCGATGTGGTGGTTTTTCACTTTGATAATCACGGCCTGTTACACTGCAAACATGACAGCCTTCTTGACCATGTCTCGAATGGGCCCCACCATAGAAAGTGCAGAAGATTTAGCAGCACAAACGAAAATTAAATATGGATGTCTAGGAGGTGAGTTCAACCTTTTGCATTTAAATTGCTCATTAAGGGGAATTGATTATGTGATGCTGTGTGCAGCAGTTTCTTTCTGGAGATTAGATGCGTGAATCGTCGTTGATGCGTTATTTATAGGATGTTTTATTTAGATGTTGGAAGTAAATAATCTAGAAGGATGAGAATATAACAGATCCAGTCGAGGATATCAAATTTGCAACAGGCGCGTTGCTTCAGCAGATTCGATCAATAATAGGTTATGAAATATACAGGGTGAATTTCACTAGTTAGGACTTCCATTGTCTACTATATAAAATGATTTGAAATCCCTGAAACAACTAAAAAAAAATAATTAAAAAAGAATAGTTGAAAATAACAATTATATTAAGCAACAATAAACCTGAAATGAAATGATAGTGAAATAACCTACAAGTAAAAATATAATAATTGAATAAATAAAAATTAAAGGAATGAAAAAAGAAAATAATAAAAAAAAAATAAAAAAGTGTAGAGATTCCAAGTCACGTTAGTTCACGACGTTTCGATTGTTGGTATCTACAATCGTCTTCGGGTGATGACTGGACTGATTCCTCCGAGAGATGACTATTTTATAGGTCGTTGAAATACTTTCACTTTCTCTACTTTCCATTTTCCGCTTCACTGATTCCGTGAGAGATGACCGTTTTGGCGGGAGTTGGTCATTTTTCGTTTGATGATGGGTTTCCATATGTTTCGTATTTCTACGCTGGCTTGGCTGAATACGTTGTTGGACAACATGTATGCGGCTTCCTTGAATTTTCTCCCGAGCCAATGTTCCTCTCTGTGCAAGATCTCAGCTTGGGACCACTCGATGTTGTGTTGATGGGTCCAAACATGGTCTGCTATTCCTGTTCATTTTATGGTACATACTTAATTAACACCCTGTATATGCGTATTGCATTCGTAGCATCTGCCTCTGAGTTCTGTTTCATTTGTATTTTTATAGGGTTTATCAAACACAAACCAGGGTTCAATTAATGCTGCTGCAGGCAGCATTACACAATGATCATATTTTCGTTTCATTACAGGTGGTTCGACGTCATCCTTTTTCAAAGACACCAATTTTTCCACGTATCATCGCATGTGGGTGCAAATGGAATCAGCGGAGCCAAGCGTCTTCGAATCGAACAATAAAGACGGCGTGAAACGAGTTCTAACCAGTAAAAGAAAATACGCTTTTCTCATGGAAAGCTCTTCAATCGAATACGAGATGGAAAGAAATTGCGAACTGATGCAAGTCGGAAACAATCTGGATTCGAAAGGATATGGAATTGCCATGCCTACTAGTAAGTTCGAATTTAGGTGTGCAGGGTCGGATTGAGGATTTATTGTGTGAAGAGAGGGCATCGGCAACGTACTGCACAACATATCTGCTAGAGAAGAAACTTTTTGCAATAATTAATACCTCACGTTTGTTCTTGAGGCAAAAATAATTTTTCACCCAAACCGCTGAAGAACCTGCAACCCTGTTAGTGTCTGAATATCTCAGAGATTTCCTCAGGAGACTCGAATATTTCATTTTCATATTTTATGGAGGAGATTGATTGCTTGCGCGATTCATTAGTTAATTCATTCACTACACTCCAGCCTCAGTAGGGTTGTCTGAATTATTTATTTTATGCTGAAAGTAATGTTTTTTTGAGTTATGTACTGAGATTTCGTGCTTTTTCTTTTCTGCTTTGTAGAAATTATTCAATAGAGGATGTTGGCTTTTAAGCACAAACATGTTCTTCAATCGTATGCTGGACCTCTTAATATCGTCAGTAACCCATTTGCAAGACAAGACAAGACAAGACAAGACAATTTATTTTCCACTGAATGTTACAATACAAGTACCATACATTATGGGAATCGTCACTAATAAGTAGGATATAATTATTTCTAAAAAATATTGAAAGGCACCTTCCATATTTTCTATGGTGAAAAGAGACTCCCAAACATCAAGAAAACACTTCTAACACTATTATTATTATTATTGAAAGGAAGATCAACAAAGATTGGAACGGTTTATATTCAATTTCGACAGAAACAGTATGCGATGCCTGCCTAGTTCACATCACCTTGTATAAGCGAAGACGGTAAGCCCCAGGTTTTCGGTATATCTCCAGGGTCCGCGCCATTGACAGAAGAACGTAAACCATCCGTCGGTGAATGTCTTTGCGTACGAACAATCGGCCCCCTGGAGTCCCACAACAACGGACACCCGACCTCTTCAATAGTTCCGACAGTTTATAGTCGCTTTGTTGGACTCTATGGTTTAACGTCTTCTGCTTGATTGCCCATAAATAACCCCGAGATATATCTATAAAAAATGCCAGAAATTTGAGAACTTAAGTGGCTTTGCGAATCAATAGAAAAATGCCACTGGTGTCGATGCTAATTGGTTCTCCTTGTTTTCGAGAAATTCTTCAGAGAATTTTTTATTGACACCGCTTTTCGATTGTCTTGGTTTAACGGCTGGCAAAAAATAGCTATATGATGGAACCGAAATTGTATTGTGAGGTTATTAGAAAACCAGATAATGATTTTAACTACTCCCTTCTTTATATTGAAGCAAAAATACTTCTTCGAACATAGGGGAAAGAAGTTGAAAAAAAATAAAATCAAATGTTACGAAACTTCACATTTACTTTTCAAACCATCCAAATACTTTTATTAAATGGTTTTCACCGATTCTGTTCAGTTGTTCAACCTTCCACCGTCTTGAAAATATATAAATCAACAAAGAATCTACTAGTGAATGATAAATGTCATGTAAATATAAAATAGACTTCAAATCGAGATTTTTATACTACTTACATTAACTAAACTTAGTAATCTTAATTTCATCTGGACCTATATCAGTGGACACAGTTCGGGCACGTTTACTTGTAAAATTGCGGTTGCTGTATTCTTCAATATTGAAGGAGCATTTGACAATGCACTACCCAAATCTATAGGATAATGTCTGGCTAGGAAAGGTATAGAATCAACCATGATTGGCCATGCTGGTGAACAGAACTGCAACTAAAACTCTTCAAGGCGAGGCCTTTAGGTTCAGGTCTTGTCATCTTGACAAGTGAAGGGTACTTTGTAATATCCTGCAAAGCACGTTGTTCACAGTTGGTGCCTGAGGGAGCAGATGTCTGTCAACTCCAGCAAATCTGTGATAATCTCCTTCAGCAGCAGGAGAAAATTGGACGACTTAACTCCACTTTCCCTTAATGATGAAGTCATTCCATTCACACAAAGCCAGAATATCCTTATGGGCATGTCGGATTTGTGGTAAAACTTGGGGTTTAGGTCTCATACAAATCCATTGGATTTATGTGATAATTGTCAGACCAATGATCACTGGAGCAATTGCCTGGTGACTGAAGGCTTTACGGAAAATGGCCCAGGCGAATCTCTCTGCCTTACAGAGACAGGCTTGTCTGGCCATCAGTGGTGTCATCAGTAATACACCGTCAGCGGCCATGGGGATCCTTCTAGATCTACCTCCTTTCCACATTTTTCTGAAAAGATAAGCTAGATGGACTGCATACAGACTTGTGCACATTGCCAATTGCACGAATCAATTTGAAGCAGAGTGCAACAAACTGTTGGCTGACAATGGAAGTCACAGCATTTTGGAAATGACCTCTGACTTTATGCTTTCAACTGTCAACTACGAACTGCCTTAAGTACTGTATCCAAGTAGAGAGAAATTGATCCTCAGGAAGACAACAGATAGTTCGTGGTTCACAGATGGATCAAAAACACCTTCAGGTTCTGGTGCAGGTGTTTTTAGTCGCAGGCCCCGGACAGAGATATCAACCTGCCTAGGAACATATGCGACTGTATTTCAAGTGGAAATTTACGCTACTGAATTGTGTGCAGAGAGATTGGAAGAAGCCAGCCTCATACATAAGTTGATGAAAATATTCACGGACAGAGTCAAGCGGCGTTGGAAACCCTTGGATCTTATCGAGCAACGTCTAAATTGGTAGCAAACTGTCAACAACGTTCCTTCTCGACAGAAAAACTTAACAAATTGTCTCTGGTCTGGTTTCCTGGCCATACTGGCCTGGAAGGCAATGACGCCGCTGACTCCCTTGCGAAGTAGGGTGCTGCAAGCAGCTTCATCGGAGCTTCACCGAAGCTCGAAATCAAACTGTGTTGGACTACAGTAGGGATGAACTACGATGTCTAATCGGCCTTCCTGAAGGTCACTATCATTTGAATCATTATATGCAGAGACTCGGACTGTCGGAAGACAGTGTGTGTCACCTGTGTTAGACAAATGAAGAAATAACAGAGCACATATTTTGTGCCTGCCCCGCTGGGGACCAAATCAGGTTTTTAGAGTTCGGCAGAGCCGTACCCTTACCATCTGACCTGAAAGACTACTCACCATACAAACTTATCGGCTTCGTTAGGAAGCTGGATGTATTTGCTCGAGTATGAATAGGTTTGAGCCACAATAAACCCTTGCGAGTTGCCGTGGAGGCTTGAATAGACACACTTATGCTAATAAAAAATCCCGATTTTCGACTAAGAAAAAATATCGTAGTATGCCCTGAAACTTTAATGAACATTTCAAATTTCGTCCCAAGGTAGACCTTTTAGTACTTGACATTGAAAAAAAAATAATTAAAATCGATTCACAACTTCAAATTTTAGGGGGGTGTTTCCTTAAAAATGGGTCACACTGTATATTTTGGTTGAGTAAAATTGGTGATTGTAATTTCATTAGACCTCATATCTATTGATACTTATTGATATTCTTCAGGTGTTTTTACTTGTATAAAAATGTTTCTATTATCCTATCATTATATCTCAGACAAATCCAAAGTCTAGACGAAGTCTGAAGTAAAACTAAGCCAGTCAAAAATGTAGTTTTTCGAGTTTTAATAAGAACAACCCTATGGAAGATGTCTGCTTCACATTCGGTATATTTCAGAAAAAAGTGATGATGATTCACCGATGACTCATCAGTGGAGTAAACCTCTAAAGAAGCCAGCCTACTGACGAAACTTAGGATGCAGTTCCAAACTACGACGGGCTTCAAACCGGAAAATCTCGGCAGCGAAAGCTTTTACTAATTTATAACACAATGTTTTCTTTTCCAATACCAGGATTTATTCAACTTAAAATAGATACCACACCACTTTAACATCTCAGTTTTGGTCTCAGAAATATCATCAAATTCGTCTATTTCTGCTGCATTGCAACTACATACTACTAAATTTCAGATGCTCCATATAGAAAGTCTATCAATGAAGCCATACTCAAAATGCAGGAGATGGGTGCTTTACATAAACTAAAGGATAAGTGGTGGAAGGAAATGAATGGAGGGGGACAATGTACAGTAAGTATGTAATTTATTGTCGAGCCAATTGATAGTGTAGTCAAAAATCAATTTTCTTATTAGTCAGTGGGCTATGCTTGAAGACAGGCAGTAAACAAATCTAAAGAAATCAACTTTAAATGTCTGCAGGTGTGCCTGTTCCAAAATTGAAGGTCGACTCTTTCAGTTGTATTGCCAATGGCATATGCAGGAAATGTTCTGTGATGATTCCTGCACTGACGCCTGTCGGATATAATCCAACGCCCTTCGTGGTATTAGCCAGTGAAGTAGTTGTTTTCTGATAGGCGTCAGTCCATTCAACCTACTGTGTAGGTATATCCGAGACGAGCTTGAAAATTTGAAGTTCATTTTTTTGAAAGTCAATTGACGTAGATGCAAGATCCTGTTGTGATCTATAATCAAATAAATTACCAAAAATAATGATGATTGTTTCAACCATTTCATTTCGTTTATAAAGTTCTATATGTAGAACCTTCCAGAAATCCAGGTAGATAAATTTTAATTAGCGTTCATATTTATCGAATAGCAGAATAACAATGAATATAGCTTCCCCGTGTTAGGAATCACACGTTGAGAGGTAAGACCTCGTTAATCCTTAGCTCGCACAAGTTTCGACTTCTGAGGGTTGTCGTTCGTAGGGGTGCGACAGCTGGTTAACGGAAAAACAGACTTTAAACAGAAAACAGATTTTTTTTTCTGCAGCATAATATTATACTTCGAATGGAAACTTCAAAAAATGAATCAACAATTGAGATAATCCAGTGAATCTAGACATTGGAAGATAAATAAATTTACAACAAGCTGCAAACACGTGTAATTGTTCAAAACATAGTTAAAAATAAGATTTTGAAATTCCGAATGATTGCGATGCCTGGAAAAAAATTTATTCGACGTCAAAGGTCAAAAATCTCGAAAAAAATTGTTCTTTCGCGATTTTCAGGAAAACGGTGATATTTATCATAAAATAAGTTCAGATAAAAATTTAAGATCATAAAATTCTCTACAGAAAATGTTTCAGTACTTTTTTTTCTCACAGCCACCGTTTCTGAGAAACGATGAGTCAAAAAGATATTAAAATTGTAATCGTCATTATATGCACACGTTGCCACGCCATCTATGAGGTAGTGTACTTAGCGCGAGATTTGTTGTGAGTATTTGCAAGAAATTTCTGTTGACTGGTAGGAACTGTCATAAGTTCATCAAATAGAATATCGGAAGATGAAAATGTTGCTAAAGTTCGACGACGTTGTTCTGCAGCTTTNATATCAATTATTTTTTCATCCCTTGCCACATTTTATAGTTCTGAGTAAATAAAATAATTCCGTATTCATTTTATTTCGATTTGTTGCTGGCTTTTTCTGCTTGTCATAAAAACTGACGTCACATGCTAACAGGAATACATATATCGGATCAACTAATTATTTGAGCCTCTAGTTTTCAGGTGGATCTCGTTAAAGGATGACGCGAAAAAACTCATCAGAAGGGGCGAACATGTGTTAACAATAAAAATGAAATTATTCATTACAGGAAATGTTATTTGTTTCAGTTCATATGTTTGACTTTTGATGCACCTTCAATGTTAGAAAATGCGATGGAATTGAATACTTGATGTAAATCTTCTTTGTATCCTTCATTTTGATATATTCACTGATCAGTTCACATACATACACATACGTATTTCGCTATACTATAACTTCCTCAGGCAGTATGAACACGCCGTTAATTTTTTTTGATGAATAACTAGACAAATGAAAACAAGCACAATCTCTTTATGACGATGTATCTCAGTAGTTGTTCGTAAAATGAGTTTTTGCTGCGAACTGGTTTATTTTTGGCATAAAACCCAAGAGACATTTTTTGTTTAGAATGAAACAGACTATAGAAAATAAATTTTTGAATGGTAAACAAATAATGAGACAAAAAGTACATTGGAAATAAATTTTAAGGGTTGCGTTTTCCATCCCTCATAACCATGTGGTAAACCAAATAAATAACTGGCTAAGTGTCTTTTTGGTAGTACAAAACGTCAGGTATCTTAACAAGGGATGATCCAATGAAGTTTCTTTATGTGAAAGATCCTATTCCTGTATATCGTATCAAAAATCTTATACTTTACTAATTTTTGTTTGAACAACATCGATAATGAAATGATGTTTTTCTATAGAAAGACAAATCTGGAGATATAGAAACAGCCGAGATGGGACTGGACAATGTTGGGGGGGTCTTCGTGGTGCTTGCTGTTGGTGTTGCTCTAGCTTTCATGATTGCTGTTTGCGAATTTCTCTGGAACGTTAGAAAAGTGGCTGTTGTTGAGCGGGTGTGTATAATAACTGTAGTAGACTTAGGAACAATTACAAATAGGAACAACCACAAACCGATACGATAAGGTCGTATTCTTATTTTTATTTCGGAATCAAAATTGATAGCTGTAAACAGTAAATTTTATCCAAGATCACTATTAGTTACTAGGCTAATTGGCTGGTTGCTGGAAGAAACGAAAAAATTTTAAATTATGAGACGATTATTTCACACTGATGGGTTGTTCCAGAACATGCTAGGCTATTCTGTAGCATTCCAGAATGTTACAGTTTGTTCTGGAATGTTGTGGAATACTCTCGAGTGTTCAGGCCTGTACTAAACATTTTCTGGGAGGCAAAACTTCCAGCCCATATATTTTACGTTACATTTCATAATAACTTCTGTATTTTCCAGCTTACACCAAAGGAGGCATTGATCAAGGAAATTCGATTCGCAATGGACATAAGGTCAAGAAAAAAAGTGGTATCAGCTCCTTCTCTGGCTATTTCACTGGAAAATATAGATAGATGAATCAACTTATAAGTGATTCATCAGAAGAATTACACCAACAATGAATAGTAAATTTTGTTTTGGAAACCAAACTAACACTTCATAAACCAAGAGTTATAATCAATAATGTCAATATTGTATGTTGGTTTACAATAATTTTTAGTGTATTTGAGAATATCACCTCATCCATTACTGATCATGAATAAATACAAAAATGAAGGTCAGTGTTATCGATTTTTACGAGTACAATGCTGAGAAACATCAAACTCAATGATTCTGGGAGCAAGAATGATGATAATTTCATATCAGTCTCTCGTTTGTTGATAATTAGTATGTCAATAGTATCACTTGATGCTAAAGATTGTTTGTGGTGAATAATATACGTATTTATTATTGAAAATTAACCTCTCCTCCAGTTTATCTCTTCTCATTCCGTCTTGATCTGCTTAAAACAGAACAGAACAATTTTTTCTCAAGTGTCGGCATGTGGAGAATGATTTGCATATTTGTCTCTCAAAGTGAAATAATTCCAAACTCCACGTACCTACACTGATTACCGAGAACGGCGATTATTCAGTTATTTCCCGAAGAATTTCTCTAAAACTTATTCGAATAGCCCACCTCCACTTCAAACATCCTACTGCTCACCGACATCAAACAAAATACCGAAATTCTCCTAATTTATTGTAGAGTTGTTTACATTTTGTTGAATCGAATCAACTTGTACGAATTCTTTTCAAAGTGCATCAGTGGCAGAACGGGGGTATTTTTCACAATTTTTCCACTGCTACTATTTCTAATCTGGACTACAGGGCAGTGTTCCGGGCACTCACCTTTCAAAAACAATATTTTCAATAGAAGAAATTTAAAATTTTCAAAAATAAACGTGAAACTCAGTTGAAGTTTCATCACAGAACGTTATTTTGGAATGTTTTTGTTTTCCCAGAAATTTGCAACGCCATCTTTGGGCAATCATTCTCTCAAATCTACAACCTCACTTGGCGAAATTGACATTTATGGTATTTTCTGTTTCATTTTTATCAAAAGCCAGAATGTTGAAGTGAATCCTGTACTGTTAATAATTAATTGTGAGTGGAGTTGGTATATAAATATTATTAGTGCCTCGACAGCAAACAAATTTGAAAGAATGTTCATAATACAACCATGAATTTCATCACATCTGGAATACTTTTTTTTTCAATTGGATATCATGAAGAGATACTAAATATGACCCACCGGAAGTTCAAGGCCATGGAGAAAAAGATAATTTAACTTTAAAGACCCACCTTGTTCCCCCGCAGTTGACGCCACAGTATTAATATTCAAAAATTCTCTCTTATTGCACATACACAGTATGAAACGTATCTAAGATACTGAAAAATGTCATTTACTAATCGAGATTTTTCAGGCCACACAAAACATGCGTCTTCCCAATTCATTCCTCTAATTTCTGACAAAAAATATACGAGTTTTCAAAGTGATCATCTGATTCAATCACAGGGACACTGTGGAGCTGGAAATTCGTCACTGCCTTTCTGAATTCAATATCTAAACTTCTTAACTCATAATCTGATACTCCCTTTGCACTTGATACCAATTTCTGGCAGGGTTCTTTTAAAAAACTCCGACTTAGAAGCTATTACGATCAGCCAATCTTCATCGAGCTGAACTTTTTTAATTATAATATTCCACAACCTTCGGTCACTTCAAAAGGAACGTTATTGCGAAAATGATTTTATAAATCCTTCTAGACAGAAGCCAAAAGTACTTATTTATCTTATCTCGAACGTAGTTCTGAAGTCTTTAAAGAGAATGGGTAGAGAGATAAGTATCCATTAGCAGCTACTGTAGGCGATTAACTTTGTTGCATCCATTTTTCACCGATATTTCGGCCTTTCGAATTGATCAGGTCAGTAGCGTTCGCTTTCTGCAACTAGCATGAAAATCACCATCATTCGAAATAAATAAGCAACTGAAAGAAAAAGTGATATACAGGGCCTTCATTGCAAAACTTCCCACCCCTAGTACTTCGTTTAGCAGGGAGAATTTGCCGTAGGCAAAAAACACTTCAATTTAGATATCGAGGGGGGAGTTTAAAACCAGTGCCAGTGGTATTTTAGGTTTAACCCCCTTACCCCTAGCTACCCACACTTAATAATTTTAAATGGCACCCCCTATCTTGTGACACATCACTTTAAAGATCTTAAAAATCCTCACTCAACCCCGTTCAGAAAACTTAAATTGGTTGATCCGTTCTCGTAAATATAGGGCAAAAATAAAATTAATTGTAATAAAAAATAAAATGATAGCTATTGCAATTAAATAAATGTACTTTACTTCATTAGGTGTTCAAAATGCTCACCATTGGTAGCTAAGCAAAAGTACAAACTATTCTCGAATTCCTGTCGGACTTTTGTGAATGTTTCGTTATTAATTCGTCTGCATGTGTCAGTAATCCTGTGTCTTAGATCCTGAATATCCTGCGGGGGAGTTTTGTATACCATTGTTTTCAAATAACCCCAGAGAAAGAAATCCAATGGCGTTAAATCCGGAGATCTCGCCGGCCATTCCAGAGCGCCTGTGGTGTTTGGTTTTGAGAATGAAGTTTCATAATGAAAATGTATCGATTGGAACATTCGAGACTGGAATGTAGTTATTTCTTTCATTTCTTTCATTGGAAACTCATCTATTGTTCATCAACACCTTTTTCTGAACGGTTGCTAGTGGCAAAACATTCCAGAACCATCGCACGATGCAAAGTGCACCGTCCGTGGGATGTTCTACCAGTTATCAAGATCTGAACGGTACTATCGATCAGCAAGCCATATAGTCCATCCCTCCCGCCACGGTGGTACCAACAGCACCCGACTCACAATATTTATATTGGTGCGGCGTTCCAGCTATGAATAATGGAAATTTTAGTCAAGTGACATATGTCTGGGAAGCCAAAGGAGTACCGAAGACCGCCAACTGCGGTACCGCTCATGTCTTGGCGACTGCCATCACTTAAACCAGCGATAGGCATCGAATGTGGGTGTGGGTCAATTGCTCCGGCCATTAATCAATCGGGAATTGTTGTGTTCGCTCTTCTGACACCCACGTCGTCGTTAGTCAGTTTACTCGGAATACCGAGAAGAGGAATTTGGGTAAGGCTCTTCAAGTGAGAGATATTTCAAATCGCAAATTGGTTCTCGGAAGATGACTTGATATTCATTTCGGGGCTGGAAATGTTCAGTACAGAATATTTTCAAGGATCGTCAGCTCACCATTCCTGCATGTGTACTTTCAAGACCACACACGACTGTGTGAATGTTCAATATTTGGTTATAATGATGATAATCAGTATCAACAAGAGAGTGTAACAAAATATTCAATATGATTTTCTAACACTCAAAAAAAAAACTATTGTCTGATCAACCAGATGTCCATTGATTCAATGATATACAATCTATACTACTATTATAAATGTGAAAGTTGTGAGGATGGATAACTCTATGTAAATCGATCTGTAAACTAAATCGATTTGATCATTCAACAAGTTGCACCCACAATGTTTATGCTTGTGAATTTCCAAGGATTCCAAATAATTGAGTTTGTAAGCCTTCCTTGCATAGTGAAATGAATATGTTTTTTACCCAGGTCGGAGTTTACTATAGTGGTATCCAAGCTGTTCATAAATATGTCTGCTAAAAGTGGACTAGGGGGTGAGCCCATTGGTAAACCTGAATCCTGTTTATAAAATGTGTTGTTGAACTTCAGATAACTCTGATTTAGCCACACATCGAAAGCTGTTGATATTTCAAAGGAAGTGATATGATCTACTTTGGCTTGATCTAATATACCTAAAATGAGGGGCTTACAATCGTTGTACGGTATGTTGAAGAACATACTCTTTAAATTGAATGGCACTAAAATTTAATTATGTGGCGTGGTTTGGTTCCTTATGTTTTCCACTGAAGTCAGTGAATTTTTAATGCTGTGAGGTGGGACGAAATTGGTGATATTTTTGAATAACTTGTTAAGTTACCGGACTATTACCAGACTATTTATATACGAAACTACCGGTCTTATGAGGTTATCCTCTTCATGTGTTTTTATCAGGCCATAAAGTTTAGGGTAGGAGGGGTTTATGTTGGTGATTCTCCATTTCTCTGATTCCGTGAAAATGATTTGAGTATCAGAGGAATTTTTTTAGTTCATTATGACTATTTTTCGTCGAGTCTTTCTTAATGACAGTAAGGTTTTCATTTTGAATGACCGATTCAATTTTCTGGATATATGTTTCTCGTTCAAGGATAACGATGGCATTCGATTTATTAGCTTTCGTGAAAACAAGATAATTTCTTCTTATTTTTTGTTGTATTGTTTTTATTATGCATGTTTCTCTACGGTTTGACTGAGAGAATGGATGGTTCTGAATTACTTATTTCATTTTGTACGCCCCTATATCTCTGCTATCTGTCTATTTCAATGCATTAGCTGTATCTGTTATCAAGGTGTCCAAACTGTTTTTATTAATTTTTGTTGGTATGTATTTCGGCTTTTTGGAACTCTAACATGTTTTGGTAAAAGAACAGAGATAACTGCGTGTTTATTCTGAAAAAACAATGTGGAAGACCATTCAGACCACATGCCAGGTTATCTGATTTCCTTTTCAATTCCAAAGATAAAGTGGACAAGTTGAAGGAGTCTGGAATTTATAAGCTTACGTATCCGGAGTGTAATAGTGTTTATGTGGAACAATGTGGTCGAAATTTACAAAAACGGTATGCTGAACATGAAAGGTCCTTCAGACTTGTATCCACATTGTCACAAGTAAACAAAATTCAGCTACACAATCAAGCTAAGTACCTCTATTATTACCTACGTATAAGGGCTAATGTAATCAATCATTGTTAGTTTAATGTAAAAGTTATTTCGTTCTTATAGGATAGTTACAAATAAAAGTTGTAAAAACAGAAAGTTTCAATTCTCTTTTCTTCATTTTTATTATTATTATATGGCTGAATGACATGTGTTTTAGATTACCTCATCCAATTGTGCAATTATTTGCAATTATATATCACTCATTATCTTTCAGTTTTTTTTCCATCTGCACTGAAGGAAGAACTGGGGTTTCCGTTCCCTACTGATGTATGAGTAGTTATTGATACTTTATTTGCTTTGTTGATAACTCGAGTGTCGTCCCAATTGAATCAAATCAATATCTCACGCCTAAAAAACC